TCCCTGCCCGCTCCCACGCGCTCCTGCCATCCCGTGCGGGGCGGCAGCCCGGGACGTCGCCCGCAGCTCCCAGAGCCTTCCCGGGGCTGCAGAGCTGGGGGCCGGGACGGTTAAATGGGATTCAGGGCAGGTATGCATCGCTCCAGCTTTCTTTTGCAGACCGCTTACTAGAAACGCTCACATTCCCAAACATTACTGCATGGATTGTCTTTCTTTCTTTCCTTTTTTTTTTTTTTTAAACCAAGTTAAACTTGCATAGGAGACCATTTAAAAAATGAGTACTGATAAAGAACTGATTGAACAGCAAATCTGACCGTTATCAAGATATGTCTAAAAGCTGATACCTTCCTGAAAAGAGCATAAAATATGAAAAGGGAACAGCAGGCAGTCAAATTCACAGGCTATCCTGTATAAACAATTGCCATGTATTACTAAATGTAAATAAAGCTCCGGAAAGGCACTTAAATATAAGGCAATTAGTGTACTGTATAGGACAAAGACGGTAAGCAGCCAACGACATAAACTTGGCATTTCCAGCTCCTCTGTTGCAGTATGACAACGCTGGAGAGTATATTGAGCAGTTCCTTCTCCGTGTCCACGCGTAGTCGATGTGCTCACAGCCTGCAGCATTACAGAGCTGCCTTCCTCCGTCTGGAAAGCAGAAGTAGCTCCTTTACAATACGAGATCAGGAGATACACAGACCACTGGTGGCTTTTATCTTTCATGTAGTCTGGAAAGAAATATAAACTGCAAAGAATTTATGTCTGACACAAGAAAAGCTTTTGCTAAAGAAAGTGCTCGCAGTACTGAAGATACAAAGATCAACTTTCAACTTAGCGTGTCAAGTACTATGATTTCCTAAGATGAGCACGTAACTTTGCAGGACAGGGAAGTCAGTATTTTGCTTTCAGCACAACCCTGCCCCAGCTAGCAGGGGTGTATCTGCAACCGGACCATGCTACAGCCAGAAATTCCTGGTAAGTTAGGGGAGCGGCTCCGCCCAAGAGAGAGATTTGGGTCTTTTACAGCCTGTCCTGTGAGGCTGTGTATTTAGGGTGGTGGTTATGGGAGCAGGTCGGCACCGCTAGCGAGCGAGGTTGTGGAAACACTGAGTCGGACGGGTTGTGACATGACCCAGCTCCATCAGAAATTCTGCAGAAGGCCTCAGGGGTTTCTGAAAAACTGCGGCTTCCCACCCCCAGCCTGAAAAAAGGCTTGTCAGATCAGCAGGGAATGGTAACTGGATTTGGGATGTCAGGAGGAAGCTGCTGAAAGAGGGAAAAACTCAGATGGGAGAAGGAACTATGGGAATTAGCCAACTCTTGCATAAGTAATTTTCAATCAATTTCTTGAAATATTAAAACATATCACAGTGAAAAAATACATTTTTTACATGTACGTGGGACAGACCAGATCTAGCTAATTCTTTGTTTGAAAGCAAAGTGTAAGAGTCCTAACGAGTACCACCATTGCATGGGGCACTTTAGAAACAGAACATGGCGAAGGGTTTGCATGCTTTATGCTTGCAGTGCTGTTTTTGTTTGAAAAGATAGCGATATATTTAGGTGGGTGGCATCCCATTTAACTATGTGTCTTGTCTACATCGGCAGCGAGGTGGCTGGAAGGGCAGCACGCGCCGGTTGTCTTTGCGATCGTGCAAGGAAAGTGCAACTGCCTCCTCCCAGGGGTTCTTCTGCGGGGGTCCCTTTGTCACGGCGTCGCTGGAGGAGGACAGACCCGTCACAAATGAACTGCTTCAAAGCTACAGGTAAATCTTTCTATGCACTTGCCGTGGCGCTTCCCACGGGCCGTATGCGCAGCCTGGGGGAAGGAAACGTTCACATAGAGATTAGCCTGGCTGTAGTTTCAAGGAGAGTTAAGCTTTCTGCCTAGATTTTTAAAAACCCACCCGGTTTGGGGGTGAATTTTAGCACTGCACTCTAGAAAGGCCCGAACTAATTCCTCCTTCAAACACTGGAGGCTGTTTTCAGGCTTTGTTCCATTTCCCCCCATCTCGTCTCTTGCTCCAGCCTTCTGGCACCAAGGGGCTGATTTTACAGGACCCGTGTTTTGGGGCAGGAGAGCCAAGTTCCTGCAGTACAACGCACAGCAGCATTTCTCACGCCTGAGATCGTGTGTCAAGCTGCTGCTTTGACACTATCTCCTGAAGAAGTGCCAAGAATGACAAAAGAGTAAAAAAGAGAACAACCAACAAGAAGAGATTTTTAAATCAATCTTCATTCTGAAGAGCAAAGTAGAAACTTTTAGGCAAAAACAAAGGACAAAGTTTGCCCCTTTCCTTCTATGTTGTACGATCTAGAATGCTTCTAGCCTTCGTTTGTTCCTACCAAGGGCCCAACGTCACCAAAATTCATCTCCTTTAAGGCCTGCAAAGCCCTTCTCGGAGCCCTTTTCATATACTGATACCACTGCAACGTCTTTCCTACAGACACTTCCACAAGTGCCCAACGGTGCAGCCCCCCGTTACCCTGCCTTTAACCCCGCCAGTGGGGCTCTTTGATTCCTTCTTTAACTGTGACAAATACCTTGGGGTTTTGGTCCCAGCCGTCAGCCTGGCCATGCCAGCAGGTTGGAACAAACCCCAGCTTTGGGAAATGACGCAGCAATGGGGAAGATCCTTCCTGGCCACGCCGCACCTGCACAGGGTGGACCTGGACTTAACCACCAGCCCCATCACATTTGTGTAACAGCCCCGGGCTGCGCGGGTTCACGCACAAAATCCACCACAACAGGGGTGAGAGATTTTCTGGTTTTGACCCAAGAGACATGGCTCAGGGATGGGCAAGTTCAGCTTATCCTGACACCAGAGAAATGCTTTTCATCCAGTCTCCAGTTGGGTAGCGAGACCCTCCAGTGGGTGTTTTGTCTTTATTACTTACGATTACATGCTTATAGTTACCACCTGGACACCGTTTCCAACACAACTGACACTCACCCTTTTTATGGGTAAAATAATCCTTTGCATCGGATGGGGAATCTGTTGTAGCAGCACTTCTGCCACGTCCGGCTTCTCCTGGCTGCCCACGACCTCGCTGGTGTGGAACAAGGATTAGCGTTAGTGCCTCTCGCTGCCGGCACAAGCACAGAAGCCCCAGCACTCTTAAGGCTACGTGGTACAAAGTTCTCTCTTGCGTTTCAATACGGCAAAAAATGAGTTAAACAAAATCTGTAATAACGTGGAGGGCAAGGAAACAATTGATAAATGAAAATACATTCCATCCAAAGCAAAGGTTTTTGAGGAGGAGGAGGTCAGTGCAGTCAAACCTGCGCATTGAACCAGATGGCCAACCAGCAAAAAATATAAATGATACAGATAAAACTTATAGAAGAAAAGAACACAACAAAAAAAATCACTCACTCCCACAAAACGATGCAACTTTAGACCGTTTTAAGTTTTCAAAGCAGCCGGCTTGGGGGAGGATGCCAGAAATCCCCATGTACTTTGGAAGACACACAGATCCCTGGCTGGTCCTGGGAGAATAATAGTTTTGGCTTTTGTACAAAGGTACAACAAATCTGAACGCTGAGGTAGCACAGCTCCTTGACACTGAAGAGAAACATGGGAAAAAATGAAAACTCCAGGTATAGGCCTGGGGGTAACCAGGAGTCCCACTGATGAGTCCCCTTGAACTTCAAATGGGCCTCCAGGACTGACCTGGTGTCCTGGAGAAAGAAGAAGAACGGGAGGAGGAGATGGTATTTTGGAGCGACTTTTTATAAAGGCTGAGCTTCATTTCCCATGTGAAAGCCTTCTTAGACGGCTGGATGCCATTTCCACGGGAACCTGAAAGAACGAAAATCACGATGTGAAATTCATTGAATGGCTTTTTTGTAGAAATATGATAAAGTAGCAAATTAAGTTGGGAAACGTGGGACTTGATTCAATGTAGAGTCATTTCAACTCACTTTGGGGAGGAGGACTCCTTTCCATTTCTTTTGCTCCAAGTTTGACAAATGTGCTTTTCTCTAGGGTATAAAGAGTA